ACTCTGAAATAGTGAATCACTATTACAAGGAATGCGGCAAACAAAAATTGTACTAACATTCTCCACCTAAAACACAGGCAGTGAGGTACAAGCATAAATGCCATTGGCATATTAAAGAATAAGCATAGCAAGAGAAGCTAAACACATCCCATTCACAGAAATGTTTAAACTTCAGAATCAATTTGAATTCAAGTAGCCTAACGCATGCCATTCACAGAACCTTGTTATTGGCAAGACCATAGAAACTCCATGATAGGGCAACTTCATCATTTCCTTCCACTGAAGACAGACACCAAGTCAGCAAATTTTGTATTTTTTTCTTCTGCGCCATGTCGTCAGTGCGAAGAGAGAAGAGTATAAGGCGGGAAACAGGGAGAGGAATGGAATTAGATGAATTAAGAGTCTCATGATCTGTTCTTCTATGGACTTGACTTGTGCTTCACTGCTTCGGCTTCCCAATCTCAAGCTCAAATTTGCAGCTAAATTTTTTCAATTTCGGGTTTCAGACTTTCAGTCAATCGCAGTGTTTGAAAAGTTGGCCTAGGCGGGCGGCTAGGCGGCTAGGTGGCTAGGCGGTGGCTAGGCGGTAGCTAGGCAGCTAGGTAATAGCTAGGCGGGCGCCTAGGCAGGTTGGGTCTTTTTTCAATGCCGAACACGGAGGACGAAGCAGTGACTGCGAGAGAAAGTTCCGTCCTCTGCGAGTGCAAGCTTTGCGAGAGAAAGTTCCGTCCTCTGCGAGTGCAAGCTTCGTGTTTGTTCGAATATTTTTAAAGAGTATAGCCGCTCGGCTATACGTTTAAAATATTCGAATATAGTTAGAAAGTATAGCCGTGCGGCTGTACTTTTATAATCCATTTTCCCAACACCTTAAGGAAGTTCAAAAACTATCCCAATAAGTTCACGCATTTACCAATTGCCACTCACACTGCTAGTGTAATTTCGGATGATCGTATTCTTAACTACTCTGCTTAATAGTAACCTATTTCCATTGTTTCTTTTATTGTTATTATTATTATTTCCCTTTTAGAAAGCCATTGTTTCTATGTTAGATGTGTAAAATCAAACTTCTAATGATTACTGCATCAATACAGATCCTAGTTTTTTAGTAAAGTAGTATATTTATTTTTCACTTAGGTCATGTTTTGTTGATAAATTTTATCTTTTTGAACCAGAGCAATATCATTAACTCCAAAACTAAAAACAATATAAGAGAAAAGAAATGGCACATCTACTCCAAAGGAAACGTATCATACAAAAGAAGATGGAATATAAACGTATACCAATTTCTGAGCTATTGTTGCTGTGTCCTTTCGAGAATGAACGAATACCATTGCATGTTAACCTTGCCCGAGTGAGTCAACAACCTGGCAGAAAAAATATATCAATCAGTTAAATAATCCTTCAAATACATGCATTACACAAAGGAGAGCCTAAGGAAAAAGAAACCTTCTTGTAGCATATACCATTCTGCAGTTCAATACGCGGGCTATAAAATTCTGCTCACTAATACATCGGCGATAACTAGAATCAAACAAGAAGAGTCCTGCTTCTGGATTCACTCTCAGAAGCTGTAATTTAAATAGTATAGCCTTTTAAATATTAATGTTTAAAATTCTAAAGTGTATTTTTAGGAATTTTTGCGTAGGATTTTTTTCAGAAAACGAGTTTGATAGAAGAAATGAATGGGGTGTAATTGGTAGGAAAATAGAGTAAAAATACAGATAACATAGTTCACAAAAACAAAAACCTCAGTCTCATTCATGTAGCGTCTCAACATTTCATTGTATGTTTCAACACTTGAGCATTGAATATAAAAGTGGCTTGCAATTCGACCAATTTCTGTACAATAGAAGTTGCTACTTTTCTCATCAAAGCGCATCATTTTTGCTTTGTCCAGGGCACGTGCAGCATCTGCTATGAGAGCTCTGTGCTTTAAACTCAAGGAAGGATGCAAAATGCAGAAAGGACGCTTTGATACCACTTGATGCAGTTCAAGTATTAACTCGCAGAGCTTGTCACTATTTTTTTCCTTGTGGATTTCCTTACTACTCTTCACCTTGTTTCTTACTTGTTTTGCACTTTAAAGTATGTTGATAATCTCGTTGGCTAAAAATGTCTACTATATCCCTCCACTAGTTTATGAATCTTCGAGGTAATTTATTTCATTAAAAGTAAACTAAAGTCATAATTTCATGTAATATGGAGAAAGAGTACCAGAAGTTGCCTTCTGCCATTACTCAGACTATTTTTTATTTTTTTTTAAATTTCTTGCTGAAGATATGATAGAGATACATGGTCATTTCAGAATCCTCATGGTGGTTTTGGATTATTAAGCATATCTTATTACCTGGGCTTCTTCTTGTTCTAGCAATAGTATGCTGATAATATTGCAGAAGCCTCAGGAATATGATTTGATGTGGTAGAAATAGACCAACTTGACCAAATGAGAATACAGTATGCTGATTATTTGCTGATATGCTCTACGTTTTACTTGTTTGGCAGATTGGGGACCGAAAGTTGATGTGGTTGTTTTTTGTTTTCTTGACCTTGCTTCAAATTATGAACCCCCAGATTCACTTGCGGAGTGGCTTGAAGCTGGTGAACAGCCTGTCTATATTGGATTTGATAGCCTTGTGAGTTTGTTGCAGCTTTCTCTATTCATGTTTAATATTCTTTTCCCAGTTCTATCCCAGAGTAGCTCTGTTTGTCCTTACCCTAAAAAAATTACTTGTTCCTTCTCAATTAAAACAATCAACCAAAGCCACAATCTCCAAAGAGTGACCACCTTCATGTTGGTCCCCAACGAACAGGTTGTGGAGGTCTATTCATGACAGATTACAAATCGATCCTTTGGTTGTTCAGTTGTTCAATATATAATTTGACTGAGGCATGTCTAATTCAATTTCGGGTTTCAGACTTTCAGTCAATCGCAGTGTTTGAAAAGTCGGCCTAGGCTGGCGCTAGGCGGCTAGGCGGTGGCTAGGTCGCTAGGCAGTCGCTAGGCCGGCACTAGGCGGCTAGGCGGTGGCTAGGCGGCAAGGTAGTAGCTAGGCGGGTTGGGTCTTTTTTTGGTGCCGAACCCGGAGGACAGAGCAGTGACTGCCAGAGAAAGTTCCGTCCTCTGCGAGTGCAAGTTGATGTCAGGGCTATACTTTGAAGCAACATTTAAAGAGTATAGCGGCTATACTTTTAAAATATTTGAATGTCATTAGAAAGTATAGCCGTGCGGCTGTACGTTTATAATTTCTAATCTTGACATTAACTTGCTTCAAATCTGGAACTGGTGCAAGGTCAAGAGGACACTTAGCTCCTGATGGATTTTGATGCATTTTAAAGCACCAGATGACCTTGTCAATGAATGTTGCTTCAAAGTATAGCCTTGACATTAACTCGCAAATATAGCAATGGTATTTTTGGCCTGCAATATATCGAAATGTCATACAGTATGTGAAGAGGTGTCGTATATGCCAAACCAACAAAGGGAAGAAACAAAATACTTGGTTATACATGCCATTACCCGTTTCAGCAGCCCCTTGGCATGATATAAGCATGGACTTTGTAGTTGGTCTGCCAGAACCCAGCGAGGTAATGATTCTATTTTCATGGTTGTTGATCATTTCTCTAAAATGGCTCATTTCATTCCATGCAAGAAAACAATGGATGCTTCCTATATAGCTGATATTTATTTTAAAGAGGTGGTTAAGCATCATGGTGTTCCAAAGTCTATAGTTTCGAACATGGATACAAAAATTCTCAGCCATTTTTGGAGGCATTTGTGGAAGAAAATTGGTACTAATTTGCTTTATAGTAGTGTCTACCACCCTCAAACGAATGGGCAAACTGAGGTTGTGAATAGAACATTGGGCAATTTACTCAAGAGTTTGTTCGCAAAAAAGCCAAAACAATGGGATTCAGTACTTCCTCAAGCAAATTTTGCCTACAAATCGAGTGTAAATCGTTCTATAGGAAAGACTCCATTTGAGGTTGTCTATGGGAAAACTCTAGGCCACTATCTCGATCTTGTTCCCATTTCTAATCCTACAATAACCAGCAAGAAAGCAGAAGATTTTGCTGTTTCAATGGCAAGGGTTCATGAGGATGTGAAGAAGAAACTTGAAGAAAGCAATGAGAAGTGCAGCGAAGCTGCCAATGCTCATCGACGTGTGAAGATATTTCGTAAAGGTGATCTTGTTTGGGTTTATTTGAAAAAAGAGCGTTTTCCATCAGGCGCTTATAATAAATTGAAGGAAAAGAAAATTGGTCCATGTCGAATTTTGGAGAAGATCAATGACAAAGCTTACAAAATCGAGTTGCCTTCGAATATCCATACCCATCCTACTTTTAATGTGCAAGACTTGTCTGAATATCTTGGCAAATTCAATTCATACTCAAGGGCGAGTTTCTTCTCACAAGGGGAGTATGATGCAGTGCACTAAGGGAGATGTTTAATGACTGATCTATTATTGGGGTGATTGGGAAGTCAAGAAGTCTTGGGTGGTGCAGGAGAATAAATTTAGATGAATGATACATGTAACTTAGTTAATTGGGAAGTCAAGAAGTCTTGGGTGGTGCAGGAGAATAAATTTAGATGCATGATACATGTATCTTAGTTAATATTTGAGTCCACTCATTTACTTCTATGTTTAGCTTAAATAAGAGTCTGTAGGCTATTGTGGAGGCGATCAATTATTAAGAATTTTAATTGTAATGTCAAACAAAGCTATGTTCTTTCTATTATCAAAGACTCCTTCTCTTTGAGCGTCTCATGTATTTTCTAGCTATTTCGCATCAGCACTTTGTGTTTCATCAATTACAATACCGTGTGGCTAAAGAAACACTTATAAAAAATGTTTTACAAACCTACATTATTATAGGCTTTAAATGACAGTGGCATGTCCGTCAATAATTTGAGTTTTATAACTAGAAAGATCAGAGAACACAGTCTCCTAGATGTACCCAAATGACAGGAACATAAGGGCGCCACAATCTCATGAGAGAAGGGAAGTGTTTGCGTTGTGTCATCCACATGGCAAAGTAATTTCTCTTCTTCTGTCATATTGAAGTTGCCTTGCCTGGATACACGTGAGAGAGTTAATTGTTTGTTACTATGTTACATAACCCGCCGTATTACTTGTTTGTTTCTATGTTAAAACTATTCTTAAAGTACTTATGGGCATGTACACTAGCATTCTATGGGATTTGAGAAGACAGTTTTAATTCAATCTTCTTGGTCATATGGTTTGACGTATCAAATTAACATGAGAGAGAGATTCCTTTCCTCTTTTTTTGTTAAGTACAAGCGATAGTCTAAATTAGAGGGGAGGGGGATTTCTCACAGACACCCACACACAAATGATGCCATGGGAGTTCGAACCTGTAACTTATGATCTGCAAGTCAAGACCATTTTCCAAAAAGCTAGATCCCATTGGTGTTTATGGTGTAAAATGACTACCACCCCCTTGGAAATGGTGACATGTGCCAAACACATGATTTCTTTTTATGGAAAAACTAACAGATGAAGGCAAATAACATTTTTTTTTTCTTTCAAATGTTATGTTTTAATGTTTTTAAGTTAATTCAATTTTTTATTAATTTCAAAAAGGTTTATAGGTTTTTAAAGGACAAAAAAAAAAGGTGTATAATCTATATATATAAAGCAAAAGGCAGAAAATGGTGAAACATTCAAAATACCAGAAAATGCCATTGGTTAATTCAAACATTAAGAATTGAAATTATTAATTAAATGAGGATAATATGGTAAATTCACTTTTTTTTCATATTAAAAAAATAAAATCAAATAATAAGTCCTACTTTTATGGAACATAACTACCTATGTTATCTTTTCTTAATACTAAAAATAAACTAAAAAAGAAAAAAGAAAACCAATTGGCACATGCGTGAGCTTGTGCCAAGGGGCTATCGTTTATTAAACTTAACGGATTGGACCATATGGGCTAATAGTGCTAAATATGGGAAAAAAACTGGCTAAATTGAAAACACATGGACTAAATTAGCCAACATGGTAAAACACAAGGACCATTTTGACATTTAAGCCTTCTAATTAAATCCAAATTAAAGTTCAGATGGGGAACGCTATTTCTTTTGAGAAAAAATATAAAAAAAATAAAGACATATGGGTTCAAATTCAATATCTCTCTTATTCAATTTTTAAGTGTTTGCTTTTGCTAACTAACTGCTGGAATTTCGTAGGAGCACGTTAAGTTGCAAGTGTCTCAAAACTAGAGCTTTTATAACAGACAAGGAAATGTGGTAGTTCAAGTATGTGTTAAGTGTATGCTTCTTTCTTATTATAACTTAGCTGAACTACCATACCATATCACATGTATGATAATGATATACGGTACCTGGCGTTGTATTTGTTGTTGTGAGTAGGTGAGGATGGTGATCAGTTCAAACCTTTTTGGTTTTTCTCCCAAAAAGGTCCTATCCTAATCCTAGGAAGGAAGCAGAACACATACGCAAATGCTATTAGGAAGTAAATGTTAATTCAAACTTCAAAAGCTCTATTTATATCCATGAGTTACTAAGAATGCTTTCTCAGTTACTCTATCTATCTAGACTACTATCAATATCATCTATGATCGCAGTTAGTTGTGAGTGAAAGCTAATTAAAATAACAGAGAGAGATGGGTGATCATCAGAGAGTTCATCCTGCTGGGGATGTGGAAGCGCCACCCACCACCCTGCCTGTGCCACTGCCACAGGGACCCCGACACGGTTCATCAATAACAACAACAACAACAACAGAGAAAGAAAAGTTTGAGAAAGATCAGAAAGAGGAGATTGATCAGCAGGAGCATCACCCTTTACAATTACAGGCACGTAGTAGCCTTCCGGTTAATATCCATGCGAAGAAGGCACCAACAAATTTAAAGAGAAGCACAAGCACATGTTCATGTACTTGTTGGAGCAGGTGCATTTGTTGCACAATAGGCATCCTTGTCTTTGTATTCATCATAATAGGAGCCACTGCTGGCATTCTCTACCTTATCTTCCAGCCAAAACTTCCAAATTACTCGGTTGATAGCTTGAAAATAAGCGATCTAAGGCTCAATTTGGGCATGACTCTATATGCTAAATTTGACGTGAAGATAACAGCCAATAACCCAAACAAAAAGATCGGAATTCACTACGAGCAAGGTGGCCTGATGAGCGTGTGGTATACAAACATGAAGCTTTGCCAAGGGACACTGCCAAAGTTTTACCAAGGTCACCAGAACAAAACACTACTCAACGTGGCGTTGACTGGCCAAACGCAGTACGGAAATACATTGATGAATGCACTGCAACAGCAACAACAAACCGGACGCATCCCCTTGGATCTTAAGGTTGATGCACCCGTAGCAATCCAACTCGGGAGATTGAAGCTCAGGAAGGTAAGGATCTTGGGGGAATGCTTGTTGGTGGTGGATAGCTTAACTGCTAATAACTTGATTAGCATTAAAGCTAATAATTGTAGATTTAGATTGAAGCTTTGATTGAATTAATCCGGCATCAAGTCTGTGTCTGTCTGTCTACAATTTTGGAGATGGGATGGGACCTGTTTTACTCCCCTTCCCTTCTCTTTATTGCATTTCTTTCTTTATTTCTTTTTCCTTTTTGTTTTTTGAGATGGAAGGTTTGAATTTGATTGTTTTCCACATTGCTCTCCTTTTAATCTTGTTGTAAGATGAGAATCCTCGAATGCATGAAAATCACAATACCGTGTGGCTAAAGAAACATCTTATAAAAACTGCTTTACAAACCTGCATTATTATAGGGTTTACATGACAGTGGCATGTCCGTCAATAATTTGAGTTGTATAACTAGAAGGATCAGAGAACACACTGTCTCCTAGATGTACCCAAATGACTCGAAAATAAGGGCGCCACAAACCACCAGGCGTTCTGATCAGTTCAAGTCTCAGCTGATCCAGCAGGTCCCGTTTGACAAAAATGCCACCCCCCAAATTCAAGCAGATCTTCAAACCCCTCAATGACCTACAGAGGAAATAATGAATTTTCTTTTTTACGCTCTCTGGAATAGCTCATCATAGATCAAACCCCAATATAGCAAGAAGTAGCCACAGAGTCATTCCATAAACCATAGCCCATTCCCATACGAAACTTGGGTTCTTGCTAAACTGGCCTAGGAAATAATCAGAAGGATTTGAAATAATATATGGCATTTACCTTTCATTTCTTCAAGAATCTGTTTACTACTAGCAGCCACAATTATGTGTGAAATTAAATTCAGCCACTTTGCAGACTGAAGGAAACAATTCATCAAAAGTTGCATACCCTTGCAACCAACTAACCATTACTCTCACAAAACTCTAGATGTACATTTATTTAGAGGATATTCCTATAATCAGTTTCAACACACATTTGATGTAACAGTTAGAATGGATAATGTGTTTGCTTGTTTCTCTATAAGTGTAAAGGTTGCTATTAATGAATGTAGATACAGATTCAATCACTTCAATAGTTAACGTGGATTAACTATACCTGATATCACCATCCATGGGAGCATGCTTCACTTCTTAATCTGAGGACAACATAGAACTAATCACCAGTCAAAGCCCGAGGTCTGTGCTCAATGGTAAACAAGGACATCCCAGTTTGTGAAATTGCTCTCACAAATGCCATATTTGCCGTTACAGTTGGAGCACACCAGTAATCACCAGTACCAAAAACAACCTTATTCTTCAAAGCCAGTTTTCTAGTGGTTGGAAGGTTCATCATGCGTTCAGAAGGACTATCAGGAACAACCCTATACCAGTCCTAAAGGTTATTAGTGCAGGATAATACAAAAAAAAAAAAATTAACCACTATTAACCATAGATATATAAGGGAGCAAAAATCATCAAACAGATCAAACAAAATGTCAATGAAACTCGAATTTTTTCGAACAGGCTTAACCCTGTTTGGACTTGATGCAGATTGCAGACTAGGGTTGGTTGGTTCTCACAAATATCTACTGTGCTTGTTTCCCTATTTCTACAAAAAAATTCGTTTCCTACATATATATAGAAGAAGAAAAAAAACCCTATAGATATATGCTTAATGTCCTAGACTGAGGGCAACAGAATCTACATACTTTACCAACCTTGGAAGCAAATATGTAAGTGTAATTCTCCAAATGCAATCTAAGAAGGTCACCTAAATCATGAATCCAAGATTAACTCACCAAATAAGTTGAAGCATTCTGCAACCTAAGGTGAATTATATCAGCGAAATTTTTTGAAGTTCTAAGAAATAAGTATACTAGAGACAACACACATGCACAGAAAGCCCAAAAGAACGACAACTACTAACTGAATGAGGTTGCAAAGGCAAGGCTGCAGGGGCCAGAGGTAGGACATAAGTAACCCTTGGGAGAAATTAACCCTGACAGCAATAAATAAGAAAATTCAGCAAACTTCTGAGGAAACCCAAATTGACCAAATCTGTCCTAGTCCTCAATGAGCTATTTTTGGTCCTCTGGTAAAAGGTTAAAACTTAAAGGGGAGTAAAAGAGTTTGTTGTGAAGGACATCACTAAACTATTTTGTATTAGAACATCTTTAAATGTGAACCACAAAATAAAATAACCATGCTACTTTAAATAATTAACTTAAAGAACAACGTCATACAAAATAAAATAACTATATTACACACAATGCAATTAAGGCAGACCTTGTTGATCATATGCTCAACTTTGACTAGTTTAGTTTTTTTTTTCTCACTATAATGCCAGTGTTTATTTCCCTTTGAAATTAATGCAGACAACAACAAATATTCAAAGAAGTTAAAAAGAAAAAACTGGTCAAAAACTCACGTAAGACAATTCAGTAACTGACTAGCTCTCAACTTCTCATTGGGCCCTCCACACATCAATACTAACTCTTTGAACTCTGAACGAACACTTTCACAGATTATGCCTCTCTTCCCAGATATTGTGCGACCAAGTTCAACAAGAATTGGATTCTGAATTTCAGACACCACCTGGCAGAAGATCAAGAAACCGTACCCTGGATGTTAATGCAAACTAAATCTATTAAAAAGCCAATATTTTTTTCAAGAAGAAAAAAAAAATGGTTGAAGATAAACAAACCTTGTGAGTCAGCACGGTAGTTATTACCACAAGAAACATTTTAGGAAAAGATTAATCAACAGAATACAGAAGTTCAATGTATTGGGTACCAGTGACTAAAATCTTAAAAGTTGTCATTTTAACATACTGCCAAGTCTTAATACTTGACTATTTTGCTCGTGGGCAAAGAGGAATAAGGGAGAGAGAGAGCAATATGATCTTCTACTTATTAATTTCTTTATAGGTAGCATAAAATGTAACAAAAGATTTTAGCAGTAAAACTTTACTATAATAACTGCTATTATCACGCTTGCTAAGTATAATTAATAATATCAATCCCTTTTTTTCTGAATTGGGGGAGGAAGGATTCAAACTTGGGACCTCTCTGACAATGTGGAAAGAAATAGCCAATACTCCAAACAAAAGGTGCAATCAGGAAGAACTAACCTGTCCAATCACAAACTCGTAGTTACCCTTAAACCGCTGCCTCAATTCACTTTCTGGAGTAGCCAAAAGTTTTGGAGTGCCACCATTACTAATACCTGATACAAGAGCAATCAAGGCAGTTGTATCAAAGTTTATAAGTTCACTTTGACCCAGAAGACTCCCGACTTGAGCGGATTCCCCATTTTTTAGATACAATGAGTAGAATTCCATTCTTGAAATAAGATTAGAGAAAGCATGGCAAAATTCTGTGTGCTCTGTTGAGACGGACGGATCTTTCTCAGTATCAGCAGCCTCTCCCAGGCTTGAATCCTTCACATCAGATTCTGAACTCAAAACAGCGTTCCTTGCATCAATAACCTTTATTTCGAATGCACAAGCCTCTTGATATGTTCTCGCAACAAGTACATTAGTCCATTCACCTGCTTCCTTGGATAAATCAAAATTAAAATCTAAAACAGGAAAATCCAATTGAAACTCAGTGGCCCCAAATTCATCTTTGAGTTTATCACAAACAATGCTGCTAAGTCCATTTTGGTTTGAAAAGAAGAGAATAATTGAGGAAGGTTTCAGTGCCACAGCTGACCGGGCAGCAGCAGTGACTTGCTGAATACGCAATTTTAAGCCCTTACTCTTATACCTGTTGTAAGGGGATCCGCAGCTGCTGCTACTCCAAGTAATGTATTTTGGGTTCCTATCAGATACAATAATCCAGACAGGGTTCCTATGGAGAGTACAAACTATATCAACGTGGACAAGTTTTTTAAGACAAGGGTCGGTTTTCTGCCCATGTGGATGTGGGGCTAAAGTTGACAAAGGAATTGGTTTGCAAACGCGGGAAACACCAGTGATGAAAGGCTGCTGGAGAAGGTGAACAACTGCCTCGAGGTGCCCGATATTGACACTGCCAAAATTACTATTTAGTTTACTATTTAGTTTACAAACAAGACAGACACTGCCATTCATTCAAAACAAGAACTCAACCCAACTCGTTTGATTGCTGATGCACTTTACATTTACAACGACACGACACGACACGAGTAGTAAGTAAAGCAGATAACTTGTGTTTCATTTGTTTATAAACTTTATATATATCCTTTTCTCCTATATTTCCAATTTCATTTTAAGATACCCTAAGCAAAAAAGGAGCAGTAAATTATAAATAAATAAATAAAGAAGATATTTTATTATTATTAGGAGGAGGAGTGCATTAGAATTAAATCTTAGAAGTTAGAAGGAAGGAATGGGCAAACCTGAGGTTGAGGGGAGTGGAAGTAGAGGAGGAGGAGGAGGAGGAGGAGGAGCAACAGCGGGAGAGGAAAGTGAGTTCGGAGTGGGCCAATTTGAGAAGAGTGCGTCTGCAAGAAGCAGTGATCTTGGTGGAATCTGGCAATCCCTCTATTCGGTAGATCACATCTCTGCATCTCTTTTTTGCCAGTTCCACTTGTGCTTCTGCTTCCTTCCTCATTCTTCCTTCCTTATCGTGCTCTCGCTTCTGCTAGTCTAGTGCTGTACAAAGACACAAAAGCAATAGCTTTTGACAGACATACAGGCCCATTACAAGCCCAATAGCTTCTGATCTTCATTTTACTTACTTGGAGTTGGACTGGACTGGCCAGGCCCCTTAGCCTATACTAATAATTGCGATCTTTCTTTCTTTCTTTTTAACCTCCCAACTTTCACTCTCTTTTCTTCAATCCCCTCAGTGACAGACAGAGCAGTGCAGCAGACGAGTCGACACTCCGGAACCTTCTCTTCTCTTCTCTTCTCTGGTAATACTTCTATCTTCTTCTTCTTTTATCTGTTGTTCCGTAACTATAAAAAAGGGCCCAGAAATATATCACTCGAGACTCAAGTGCGAAGAAAACTCGCACTTTCAGTCTTGTATCTGGTTCTTCTGCTCCTCTTCGTTTTTTATTGAAACCTAACTCAGGAATCAATTATGTATTAGATTGATTATGCTAAGCGCTTGTATGAATATGGGTTGGTTTGCTCGGTAGTCTGGGGATCAGAAGTTCTAACAATTTACTAATTTCTTTTGTTTTGAAGAAGATATTGGTGGGTCTTGATTATATGAGAGGAAAAAAAAACTTTATTTAAATTTATTTTAAACAAGAAACCATTTCTTTTTTTCTTTTTTTCTTTTTTTTGGGAATGGCTTTGCTTTTAATCTTCTTGAACTATTTGTGTCTGACTCGCTGCTTGTACTGAAAGACTAAAATTTTCATGAAATATTTCTACTCGCGTCTATGTATATTTGCTCCAGATAGATTCTTGGTGTTTCAAGAACGTCTTTTGTGGAAAATAATTTTTTTTAATGAGTTAGGGCTGAGTATTTGATGCTATAGCTCCAATTGAGCATGTAATGTCGTATGCCTTATTATGGGAAACCTTGTACAGAGTGGTGCCTTTTGCATTTGATCTCTGCAAAATATTGCTGATGTCATTTCATTATTCATTATTCATTATTGAGAGGAGATAAGCCACATTTGGAGATGAAACTGCTGATCTGTTAAATATTAACTGTTTCTTCTACATTTGAAGCAATGGCCGCTGAAGAGGAGTCCGTTCAACAAGCAGTTGCAGCACGTCAAGAGAGGCTAAGAGCCCTTAAAGCTGCGCAGGAACTGTTAAACACTCCAGATGAGGATTCCTCTCTAGTTGACTCTAATGCTGACGAAGACAATGAAACTAGTGAAGAAACGTGAGTAGATCCTATTCTTTTTGTATGTTAATATCACTTACTTACCACCCTCCAATTCTCCATTAGTCTTATTTAGGGTTTTGTTCATGATTTTAATTTCAGTTCAATGCCCTGGAAGGTGTTATAGCGCATCTTCCTTTCAAATTCATGATTTTGTGCGGTGAGATTTGTGTACAATATTTATCCCATGATGTTGCCAACACCCCCATACCCACTCTGTAATTATAGGCATATGTGTGCTGTGCTTTCATATGTCATTTGAGATGATACATCAAAGGTTTTTGTTTATATTTAATCCTTTAAATACCTCAACAATGTATGCAGGTGCTTTATGGTTTTCTCATTTTTGTGGTTAGCATGACTATGGATTATGGGTTCAAAACATGAATACAAGATCTTTAAGTATAAGGAAAACAGTAAACCTGAAATAGTGTCCAAAAGGGGAAGTTGAATTAAGTTTGGGAAGGTTAAGTAGAAATTTCACATACGCATAAGAGACTTCTGCTTCCAATTTTTCAAAACCTATATCTTCACTTGTAGTAGTAATAGGATTTGACTTCATGTCATGACTGCAATTATTTAGTTTAATGAGATAGTTGATTATGAATTATATTAGAAGGTATGGTTAGGATGTGATCGGTCATATTTTAATGATACATAAAGGGTTGTTATGTTCTTCAAGTTCTGTAATTTTATTGGCAAGGGATACTTCAAATGAGGTTTTAATATTTAACTGTCAACTTGTGCAATAACACCAGCATGAAATTCCGAAATTATGTTCCTCATGATAAGAAGCTTCAGGAGGGAAAGCTTGTTCCACCTGTCCTACCAAAGTTTGAAGACCCTGTTGCAGCAGTACCTCCTCCCTCAGAGAAGAAAGAGGTACTTCATTACTTTTGAATTTCTTTACTCAGTCTCTTAATCACTGGCTTCTGTGTCTTTCATGGTGAATTGTCCATTATGTCACATGTTCTAATTCTTGATTAATGTTCAGGACCCGTTTGTGAATATTGCTCCTAAAAAACCAAACTGGGAACTTCGCAGGGATGTGCAGAAGAAGCTTGATAAGCTTGAAAGGCGAACCCAAAAGGCAATGTGTAAACTTATGGGTATGGAATTACCATTTTCTTAATAACATGTTCCCTCCATAGAAAAATTTAACAGAACGCATTTCATGAAAGATCTCTTCTTAAATTGGTTGGATAGATAACAGTTGAGTGGTTTTCGTAAGTTTAAAAACTTATGACCATTTTTTACTTTCAGAAACAAAGCATTCGATTTTTTTCATTTTCTTTTCATATTCCTTGATATTGAAATTTTTCTGCATGATTTGGATTGTTATTTCCTACTGGGCAATTATATCAAACCTCAAATGGTGGCCCCTTGGATATCCTGTTGCATTGTCTGGGGGTAAATAGTTTCGGAACCATAGTTTTGGGGCCTCATTTCAGCCCTCTCCATTAAAACATCCAGTCTTTTCTTTGATGTGCTTGCCCCACAATGTAAACAGACTAACAATGCAGTAGAGGGTGAGTTTGGGTTTAGAAAATGGGGAAAAGGTTTCTAGGAAGCATATCTTGCATTTCATCTAGGTTAGGGCCCAATCTTGCCTTCGAAACACTCTGAGCCTAGTTGGTTAAGAATATATTCTCTGGCTAAACAAAAGCTATATGTTGTATGAAAGAATATGTTATATTTTTGGTGGCGTTTTCCAGTTCATTCTTGTTGACCTTGTGTTTGAATGAGGGGCTTGAAAGTGCCAAGGGATGGCAAAATGACAGGATTTTAAAGTGATGGGATATAAAGTCCCAAGATTTCAGTTTTACTTGTTTGGTTAACGTATAAAGTGTCATGGAATGCAAATTAGGAACTTAGGTTTTGTGTCCTGGTCCTGAAACCTCAGACCGAGGACACTGGACTCAGGATCCCATGCCTAGGACCTGGACCTGGACCTCTGGCCATGGATCCTCTTCCCGAGAACTGGGTACCCGGACCAGGGTCTCAGAGCTAAGGTTCAGCGCCCTAGGTCCCAGTTTTAAATTAGCCAAATCTGGTTAAGATGGAGTTTTGAAGTAACACTTACCTCAAATCCAATCTCCAAGACCCTCACCCAAACGTGCCATAAGAGGATATATCTTTTAAGTTACTGTATGCTATAATTTTATTATGGCCTGTTAGTCTAGCTTATGTTTTTCGTTTTTATGGAAGTTATTAGACCAACATGTTCAAAGTTTGTAATGCAAAGCATGCAATGCAAGTGTTTTTCACTTTACACTAATTAGCCTACACCTTGTGACAATGAGAACCATATGCTTAATTCGGTGGCTTTAAAAAGCTGTAACTTAGATTAGATGTAGAGTCATATTGAACTCACTTTACTGGTTCTTGTTTTGTCTCTTTTTTGGCAGAGGAACAAGAGAAGCAAAAGCAATTGGATGAAGATGGCAGAAATGGTGCAGAAGACTAGCATGGCCAGCTGCAAATTGGCATCATGTAACGAACGGCATTAGTGGATAGAATGACCAGCTGCAGTTCCAGCCTGGAGCGATGTGTGGTCTTTGATTCTCCACCTCAGGATATTTGTGATCTCTGCTTCATGATGCTGTTGGTTTTGCTAGGCCTAGGGATGTTTGTATTAACATTATTTGTTAGTTTTTGTTACTCGGGCTTTTTGTTTACAAATTTAATTCTGAATTTGTCAAAATATTTACAAGTTGCCCTTCAAAAGTAAATACCCGCTGTTGAATCCAATTAATTGGGGCGTTTTATTTAAAAATTCAGAATTTGAATCCTTTATTTTCCGTAACATGTAAGCTTGGACCTAGAGAGAGGGAGAGCGTGTGTGCGAGCGCGCACCAAATGAACGAATTCTATTCTAACTCCGCCAGACAACCTTCAACATTTTTTTTGATTTTTTCTTCAAATATTTTTATGTGTGTGGACAGAGAGTATACCAACAAAATACGGAAAACAACAAATAAAAAGAATGCTTTTCTATGAAACACGATACTTATGAAACAGATGGACAAACGTAATCGGACAGGACTGGCTTCAACTTTGATGGAGCAAATACCCGTTCTTGGTAATTTGCATATAAGTCATTCTTCTTCTCTTCCCCCGTAGCAGCCAATTAACAATTTTCACACAACAGAAAACATAAATACAGAGCTCTATAAGTAAATTGCGCATGGGGAGAAGGAACAAAAGAAATTTATAAGGAAAAATGGATTAAAAGGAGAAGAAGAAAAAAGAAGGGGGGTAACAAAAGGACAGCTCAAGTGGACCTTGGGCGCTACAATTGAATGGTCATCCACACTTCTGGATCGGCCCCTGTTACTTTGTGATGCAGAAAACTATCATATATGGCTTGGCTATCTTCTTTCATTCCTGAGCTGGTTGGAACCAGTCTGTCCCTTATTCATGTGCTCCATGTTCCAAGACGGGTCCACCGGAGGAAGTTGGTATTCATCCGGTTTCAGGGCCAAAGCAAAGTCAGGCAATGTTGGTGCTGTCTCCATGATTCTGCAGTCAAGATATCCAAAATCAGACGTTAATTATTCTTATGGTTCCTTCTATCAACAAAGAACAACGAGATTACAATTAGGTGCCAAGAGTGAAAAGGAAATTGCATTTGGGCATAAATATTATCAGTTATACTTCTCTCCAGTAGGACATACTTTTCGTGTGAGTAGAGGTCACGGTTTATCCGCACTTTGCTCGAAGTATCTTTTGGAATTTTTTCAGATAGATATTTCATGGTTCCCCAGAGCGGTGGATTTCTGCATAATGTCTATCAATTAAGCACTTACTCAATAAGAAAATGATTAAAAAGAAGAAGGAAACTGATCAACTGATGACACATCAATCTTCAATCCACCAACGCTAGCTACAAGATAATAGATCTTGCACATGGTTCAGTACACACACGCACACAAATATCTAGAGATTGGAATAGAGACTACATAATTTAGGTGAGAGGAAGATAAAAAAAGGAGGACTAGAAAACCAAAAGAATGGTGATTGCAAGGAGAAGAAGCGAACATATTTATTTCAGAGGAAAATAGTTATGAGCTAACAGTTCACCTAGCTGAACCAAGCTAGATGACCAATGAGTAAATAAATTCTAAAATGTTTTGATCTTGAAAAAGGATGCATGCTCATGTTGGACCCAAAATCCTCATCGTGTGAAAGTCGGCCTAAAAACAACTGCTTCACAAACCCAATGTCCTGAGCAGAGTCTGGCTGAATAACTGGAGTACACTACTTCGTTGCTGCTATAGTCTACATGCTCTCAAAGATGAAGAACTTGGTGCTCTGAAGATAACTGATAACTTAGATACTTATCCTAGAAAAAGAGCAGATACTCCACCAGATGCGACAAGATGAATAATCCATCTATCAGCACAAATGAACAAGAAAATAGGGCTCTACCTACCTCGACAAAGGAGGAGCAGCATGAAATGCGTCACATGCTTTCTTACTTTCTTTAAAATACTCATCTGCTGCTTGCAAAGCAGCTACAGCCATCCCATGAAATTTTTCGGTGTTACCCTCGTCAAGGATCAAACCATGATAATAATATGCAGCAGCCTGATTAATATTGGAGTAAAAAAGATGAGCTTTGGTCAGCTGTGCAAAACACAAACTTCAATCATAATGAAATCAAATACTGAACATTAGTGGCAGAAGACCCCTCTCTATCAGCTAGATCAACATAGAGGAATCAATTGACATACAACTCTTCAAGAATAGTTAAGTTGTTAGACAGTTCTGATGGAAAATTATAACTTTAGTGAAAGAAAGACTGGCACAGTCTATGGTGGTGATCTCCAATATTACTTCTCATTTGGCAGTCACTTACTCAGAAAAGACAATACCGTACCATAACCAAGAACAAGTATCAAAATCAGCGTACACAGAATTTAATCCTGTTAGGATTTTGGCTCGTCAAATATGTCCTAGTTGGTTTAGGATTGCTTTAGGAAAATTAGAGGTATTCTTGTCCAAGAGGGATTAGGAAAGAATTTCAGTTTTCTTTATTCAATTCAGGTTTGGATTTCTAAAAGCCTAAAGATGAATGCAAAAAGAAAATGCGGGGGTGTTGGGATATGTAGATGCCGATTATGCAGGGGGCTTGGACAAGAGAAGGTCAACTTCTGGTTATGTGTTTACATGCGCAGGAGGACCAATCAGTTGGAGGGCACTACTGCAACCAATTACAGCTTTATCAACCACAGAGGCAGAGTATATTGCATTGGCTGAAGCTGGAAAGGAAGCAATTTGGCTTAATGGCTTGGTAAGTCAAATGGGAATCACCCAAGATTGTGTGAAGCTGAAGTGTGATAGTCAAAGTGCCATTTACTTGGCAAAGAATCAAGTATTTTCTGGAAGATCAAAGCACATTGAAGCAAGATATCACAGAATCAGAAATTGGGTGGAGTCTAAGGAGATTTGGATTGAAAAGGTTCATACGGATGACAATGCTGCAGATTTCCTTACAAAGATAGTGCCAGTCAAGAAGTTCAAGCATTGCTTGAACTTGATCAATCACGTTGGGTGCAATGATCAAGACTTGGTTTGACTCACCAAGGTGGAGATTGTTAGGATTTTGGCTCGTCAAATATGTCCTAGTTGGGTTAGGATTGTTTTAGGAAAATTAGAGGTATTCTTGTCCTAGAGGGATTAGGAAAGAATTTCAGTTTTCCTTATTCAATTTAGATTTGGATTTCTAGAAGCCTATTTGGTTTTGGATAAGTGTAATTTCCTAATCCACTTAGGAATAGGAATTCAATCAGCCTTGGGACATGTAAGCCAACTCTATATCTATAAATAGGGTGTGGCAAGGCTTATTTTGGGAGAGGGAGAAAACAGCCTGAGACAGCCAAGAGTTTTGAGATTAGTTCTAGGGTTTGCAAAAGTTCTGTAATCTCTATTATTAATCAAAGGAGCGGTGATTTCTCTACCTAGAGAAATCACAACTGGACGTAGGCAAAAGTTCTGCCGAACCAGTATAATTCTTGCGTGTCTAAGTTTTCTAATATTTGCTAGTTTAGCCTATTGCCGTTGGTTACATTAAAGAACAAGATCCAGCAGCAAGTTATTTAACAAATCCAAGGGTAGACAAACCGCATTAACAAGTAATCACCAAAGTGGAAAATACAAGTGACCAACTTGGTATCTTTTTAGGAAGAAAAACATTAATTAGGAAGAAAAAAATTCTAGAGGAATCACTAGAAGTCAATTTTTTTCCTCCATAAGGGAAAACAACATGTAAATAATTTTTTTCCCTTAAAATAAGAATCTGAGAAATACTATGCTTATAATGAAACAAAAACTCAGAAGATGAGATACAGATAGCAGCGAGCGCATAAGCAAAGACCCATAAAAAATTGCAGCGTACCTTTGCCTCAACATATTTCCACTTCACAAAGAGCCGATGCTTTTCACCCCAACCATTTAATAATGGAAGGTTCATAATGTTATCTTGAGCCTGTGAAGAAATGACATAAAGAAAGCAATATATGGTTCAGGATCACCAATTTTGATGTGATTTAAACAAACATATCTGGGATGAGAAGTGTAATCATGAGGAACATAGTGAACCATCAGAATTAACAACTTAAATATGACATGTAACTGATATGGAATATAGAGGAACTTATTCACTACTACTGTGAATAGAAAATGGCCAAAATAACCCAATATCAGGAAAGGCAAAAGAAAATCTGAAATTGTAACAAACCAAAAAAAAAGGGTTATATGACTAAGAGGAACATTTAATAAAGAAAATATTTTAGGCAAAAAGAACAAAGTGGACATGGTTAGATCCCCTTGTTTGGGGTATTCAGAGAATATTAAATTCATATTTTTCTGCCCATCCTAAATGTTGGGTATGTGGCCGTGTGTGCATGTGTCAGATATGCACGTAAAGGCATGACAGCATAAGTCAAACCAAATATGGCACATTATCAAAAACTACTGAACCAAACACACTCACTAGTAAATAAAGCAAAGAAGTATAGATGGGGTAAGCTGTCGTCGGGGATCAACCAAAAATGGAGGTGTGTCTTAATTATCAATGTTCTGCAGTGGTACTTTGACATTTTTGGTTTTAGCACTGTGCAATGGAATCCATCATGTACCCACAACGAGTTTCTAGGATCACTATTTTACTCCTCAAACCTAGAATATCCAAATTCAGACCCTGAACTGATGTAATTTGGGCTGTAGGACTAATCTTTCTTCTTCTAACTCACAAAAATTGCAGATTTTTAATATATGTACAGCCAAAAAAACATGAAGAAATATGGGAGACTTCAAATGGAAGCATGGAATGGAACATTTATTACAAAAATCCGAGACTTCAAATGACATTACTAATCGAGAAGAGCGCACCATCAATGCTGAGAAATCTCTTACCTGCTGCCAATACTTCACCATTTCACACGCAAGCCTTCGCTTCACTGCAAGAGTAGCTTTTGTGCTATCAATTGCCATCCCAAGTTGAATATCAACACCCTACAGTAGACATTGGAACAGATGAAGAAGAAAAAGCAAAGAAAAATAGAAAAAGGGTAAGCGAAAGATCATAGATCAGAAGACACAAAGTTCCAACATAATTTTATATAGTAGCATAATATGCCTTTTAGATGGTTGGTCCAATTTCAGGCATGAAGTTTGAAACATAAAATGTAACAGTTTATCAGATCAGCCCATTCTTTGAAATACCTGTCCTAATGCTTGTAGGCAAAGCGCCCTAAGAACTCCTTCTGCTAGGTCGACTGGCAGGTTTCTCCTGCAATCAATCAATAGTCAAAAGATTAAGAACAACAGCATTAGGAACATGTTAACAAACAGGAAGTTGAAATCAGTATAATTTTCAATTGATACAAACTTGAGCTCAGTAGGCAACTGTGGGTGAACATGTCGGACAGCACAATCAAGGTATCCTGCTGCCTTTATGAAAATATCAATTGAAGCTCGTCTACTCTCTGTGAAAAAGCAAAAGAAGTCATGTGAGGCACAACCAAGTGAAGAAATTAGCATGACAAAAGCCAAAAGGTTGACTGATGACCAACTACTGCATATACAAGTTTTCTTCTTCTTCTTTTGTTCTTTTTTCTTCTTTTTTTGTGAATAAAAAAGATCTTCTCAAAAGAAGTAGCCCAAGCAGCATAACAGAACATAAACAGGTGAACAAATAACTTACTACGAAGTATCAAACAGAAGAATCTTGATTTAAGTATACTGATCAGGAAACCCATTTTTCAGTTGTTTTAGTCATCTCCTTTTAACATATTAGAATTCTGTTTTAAAGGTCTAATGACATAATCTAATGAATTTGCAGTTTTCTATCTCTAGTTTTCTAATTTTTTCTATTTGTCATTCAATTTCCATGTCAACCATACTAGGATCAATCCAAAACTGATACTTTTGATGGGTGTGAATCACCGTCAGCACATGAAACCATGTAGAGGAAAGATAAGGAAAACTGATAAATCTCATTTTTCCACAACTTCATCCAGACTTTTATACTTTATGAAGCCCGGGAAGTGGAGTGAAACAAGCAATAAATATATGACTGCATATTCTGTGGATATAACTACACATTACACGTATTAAACCTATAACTAAAGATGTGTATTTATGCTTATTATCTACCATATGAATCTACCACAAAGACAGATTACTTGAAAGTATGCAATTTAGTCAGCAGAAAAGTTTACTGCAGTTTGCATCTGATTCTAAACTTCAGCAGACAGGTTTAGTGCTGCACTAAGTTAGAAAGTGCTCAGTAAAGAGAAGACTTCATGACCATTAAAGGTCCACAATCATTCTAGAAAGTGCCCACAACACAACTTTCTCATTAATATAGCAAGCTATTGTAAGAAAACAAATGAGATGATAAATGGAAAAACACAAGATTTAATTGCCTCTGGCTCAGTCTCATGCAATAATGCTACCTTCCATAGACCCAAAAAAATAACAATACCTTCTGTTACTTTTGGCTGATAACCATCAGCAGATGTTCTTGGAAGAAGTAACAAATTAGCTTGTGAGAACGATAGCATTGCCATTAAGTGCAAGATGGACAGCACCTCGTACCATGCATTAGACATAGCTGTTTCCTGAAGGATTATTCATTCAAATCAAGTCAGGTTTCCTTGACAAAATGATGGAATCTAAACCCTACTTGAGGAAAGAAAAATATATGACATGCATAACAGAGAAATGTGAACTTAAGAGCTCTGCCACATGCCCACCTCTGCATCATCCTCTTGATTTACCCACACAAATTGTACCTTGTGTTGTAGCTGGCTTCCTTCATATTAGAAATAAGAAACGCCTTTAGGATTTAACTAAACTTGTGGATACAGTTTAATGAGATGACATGAGATCAAGACTTACCATCTTTCATTAATCCCAAAAGGACAGGCAAGTAATCCTCGAGAGCCTGCTGAAGATCGGCTAATGTTGAACCACCTGAGGACAAGAATTCATTCAGATGTAGAAATACTTGAGTTCACATATCATTAGGAAAAATCAACAAACTTGATTCCATGACAAACCATGTTGGGTAGCAGTTTTTCTCCTTGTTCTTGTAATTGTAGGACCTTCTTGGCCAGCCATTACAACTATACGAGTTCTTAAAGCAGATAGGCGTTCTACTAAACTCTTGGATAAGTGATCACCGAGTGACTGAGAGAAATCAACAGGTTTAGGGATTCGCAAACCGGGAACATAGACAGAAACTTCCCCAATATTTGCCGGCCTCCTCCTATTTCCTACTGTATCTTTCGGTGTTGACACCAGGCATCCCATATCCTAAGACTTGCTATATCTGCCAACCCAAATAAAATTTAGTCAATCAGCATCCGCACTATTGAAGCTGTAAATGAATTTCCAGCTTCTTGTATGTAAACTCTCTCTTACATGAAACAGTGGTGATTTCAGAACAGCGTGCAGGTAACTAGGTTCCAATGTATATGAACCAGAAATGATAGCTGTTCAAATATTATAGTCCAAAGAATGGAGATAGGCATGGACATAAACAGTAGGCAAGCCGTAATTAAATGTCAACCAACAAAGCACAAGTAGTAGGTTGCTCACGAGCGACACCCAAATGGCTCTGAGTATAACTCTAGTTGAGATGTTAATATCTTTAATTGGTGTTTTAAAACACTATATCTCTATATTTCCAAAAGTGGACTAGTTTGATAACATTGAGATTGAGTAAACAAATAAATAACAATTGGCTAAAATTGATCTAAACCCACCTTCTTTCTTAACAGATGGCTGACTGATTGGTCAAAAGTTCTGGTTGTTTCTGCACCCAGAAAAAAATGAATACCACAATTCGAGGTTAGAGCTAAAAGAAGAAAAATGAAGGTTATTTTCTTTAAAGGCAAGAGAATCACATGAAAGGCATGAGCCATGACATTGTAGGAGAGTTGAAAAGAAAAAGTGTACCGAACTTTATAAGGAGGGTGATTTCTCGTGCAACCAATTACGTAGAAATGTGGAAGTAAAGGAATTCAAATTGAACTAGATTGGCATTTGGTATTTGGTAACCTCTCACGAAAAAGTTAACTTGAGCTGAAGATTATGAGTAAAGGTTCTCCAAACAAGCTCAAGCAAGCAACAATTGGAGGAAATCATAAAAATAAAAAAGAAAGAAAACCCAGAATTCCAGCTCCAAGCAATTGCAGATTTATTTATTAAAGTGAGGAGATGAGAAAATGCAAAGCGAACGTAATAACATTTGAGGATGCTCATTATCTGGGTCTTGGGTATGAAACACAAAAGACAGCAAAAGAAAAAAAAAACTTGAGAATTCAATTGAATGTAACTAGAAGAAAAAAGAAACATCTTTTCTGACTACCAAAGAGTAGAATTGTATACTTACCAACTAACATAAAGCCACTAGTTTGTGTTTTGGCAATTGCAAATTTGCAACTTTCAAGTCAGGTCAGGTCCCTGGTCGGAGAGAGAGACACTCGATGATCAAATAAAACTCAAACCTAAACATAAAGATGCCTTCCTTCCTAGGCAGAACCCCTACGGACCATAATCATCGCGAAGCTTATTGGTGTGCAGTATGAAGATCACAGACTCTCAATTCAAAACAAAAATTATTAATAATAATAAAAGGAAAAGCCTTTTCCTTAGTCGTCCGGAGAAGAAAGAGCCAAAGAGGGTATTGGAAATGGAAAAATAAAAAATAGTAGGGATTTTGTTTCTACTCTCTTATTCTTATTAAAGGCTAAAGCTTTTTAGCTTTAAGCGGGTTCGACTTCAACACTCAACACAGCATATTGGGTGGGTGGGTTTTAGAAATTTGGTGGAGCTTTGTATCGTATATATCGGCATACAGTCGCTTTCTTTTCTTCATATATATGATGATATATATATTCCTTTTTCTTTTTCTTTTTCTTTTTTTTCTTTTCTTTTCCGGTTTTAAATTAATTATAGCGTTTGAATGGCGCCCTGTACTATTACTATACCCAAATCCTAAATTCCTATTCTCCTCTCTCTCTCTCTCTCTCTCTCTCTCTCTCTCATCATCATACAGACATCATCACCGAACCCATCAGTCGGTCGGTCCCTCTTTTCCTACGTCAACAACAACTGTCTGTTATTCTTGTCATTTCTGCTGCACTTACTTTTCACTTGTATGTTTACCTTTTCACCAATTTTTTACTAAATCCGCGGCAGCATATCATATGATATGAATTTATGAATGGACAAACCAACCTGTGTTGATTGAAATTGGAATGCACTCTTCTTTTCTTTTTTGCTCTTTCGTCTTTCCAGAACAAAGAAAAGAAAGCCAGTTACTTGACTTTGGATCAACTTCGTCATTACCGAGTCGTCTACGACTAATATCTCACACAAGAAATGACAAGTGTCAATCAAATAATGGTACACCAAACTCCTAATTATTGGGAGTCAACAAAACTATCAAGTTTTATAATCATTGCAAGGTAACAGATTTAATTGAGTTTTTTAATTATTGGGGGATCGATGTGTCCTGCAACTCTCTTCTCTTGTGATTATTTCGGGGCTTTTTAAGTTTGATCATTGGGGGTCTTAATTTGCGTACTAGTTTTTCGTTTTTCCCCACCAAAAATGCATGAACAACTGCACTCCATCTCCAGCATCTGTTTTTGTTTTTTGGTCAACAAAAACTTCTTTAGATGAAAAATAAAAAAGCAAGAGAAAGAAGATGCAACAAGTCTGCTCCAGTCAAAACCAATTGGTAATGAATAAAGGCCCTCAACTTTAATATCACGAATGAAGTTGAGATTGCAATCCCAAAACTAATTGACAATAAGGAAGTGACCACCTCTTTTATAAGTCATTGTATAGTTTTTTAGGATCTGTTTGATAACCATTTTAGTTTTCTTTTTTCATTTTTCATTTTTCATTTTTTATGAGGCAACATCATCAAATTCACATTACATAGTTAAATGTAGTATATATGTTATCCATCCAATTGAAACATCAACCTTTTCATGCATACGTGAGTTAGGTCGGTTGGCTAGGACAATGAATATGTACCCCTTGCATTGCATCCAAGTTCGAATCTCTTTATTGCATATTAGATTAATTTAGACTAGTTTAAAATATCACTTGTATTATAATAATAAAAAAATCATATTGATTCTTCACCATTCTAAATTTAAAACAAAATTAGGTTGAAATTTGTATGCTTGTATGCTTGTGATATTTCTCTTGGGGCTATGAAAGCAGAGTTTGAGGAGTGTGAGGGTAAGAATCAACTTGTCATTGGGTTTTGACAAGTGTCCATAAACTAAGAGAGATATGGATGCATTGCAGTATGGAGATAGTTAATTTTAGTTGTACACTTTTGATTGACTAAGACATGTATACAATACGTAACAATAGGTGTAACGTAGGAATAAGACATTTCAAAAAGGACATGAGTTAATAATGGGACCTCTGTGCATCAAAATGTAATCTTTTGTGTCATAACTGTCGTTAGCATAAGAAAGCGTTTGATGATTGATACACTGAGACTGAGTCAGTTAACTGCAAAACATACAAGAGTTTCCTCTTCGAGATGCAACTCAACTCATTCCATATCTTAGTCTTAGTCTTAGTCTTAGGTAGACAAATCAGCTATTTCATATGCTTTTTTCTTAATTAATATTTCCCTTTGTTTTGCTGTGTTTTTATTTTTTATTTTTACACCTATTGTTACGACTAATATGGATTGAGTTGAGCAACTAACACTCCAAATTAAGGTGGACACGCAGTTCGTCTCAAATGTAAACGACTCATTTCAAATAATAACAGCCAGGGGCAGAGCCACCTTTGCCCCCAATGTTTTGTAAGCGTCCACTAATCAATGTAATGTTTTGTAAAATATTAACATAAATTTGTATGTTTTCAGTTAATGGCCCCCCAAATTCAAATCCTAGCTCCGCCTAAACTAAAGTACGTTTAATTTTCAGTATGCAAATTGTTTATTGTAGAGAATTTTGTTTGTATGATGACGTATATTATATATAAAATGACATTAAGTATAATTATAGGATAATCATATATATTTATATATTTATATATATATATAGAGAGAGAGAGAGAGAGAGAGAGAGAGAGAGGCTTGTTTCCAGAACTAGAAGTCGACGTGTGAACAGTTTTTATCATGTATAATATATCTAGAAAGAAAAACCCTAAGTTTAAGAAGATAACATGAAGTTAAAATCTATTTCATGCTAACAATTGTGGTAGTGGTAGAACCATAACCAAAAACTCTTTTATATTAAATTTTCAACTGTGTATGTTTTAGTCTTTAGCAAAAAAATATGTTAATGTGTTTACATGTGGGCGCTAAACCAGTGACAGTGAGACCAGACATCCAGAGGCCCACAGCAAAGCAGCTCCCACAAGCCCACCGTCCAAGAGCTCTAAGCCTTCCACGTGCATGAACACGTGGCATGATGGAAGCATGTCGTCACTCATATATTTGTCACAATCTAACTCTAGCCCCTGATTTGCTGAGGACGGTGATTGGGATGAAAAACATCACAAATATCTAATTTAAAAAAGGAAAGGAACACGTGGCGAGCGATGGCTATCCTTTGATATATGCCGGTTTCGGCTAAGGTTGCGCAGCCATCATTACGTTAGGATTCCGCTACATCCATAATAGATAATACTTTGGACATTGAATTTGAGACACTTCTTGAGAGGTACACGCAAGGCAACAAGTAGTTGGAGTGCGTGCCACGTGTACAAGATTGTTAACGTAATGATGCTCATGGCCGCCCGCCCGCCCGACCGCCCGCCCGCCGCGCTGGTTTGGTTGGTTCGTTGGATTGAGATTCCTACCCAAACGATAGACTGTCTGTCTAGCACGTGCGTAATATTACTCGCCAGCTAGCTGGGAGGACGGCCAGATTAGACTGAATGGCCATATAACTGCTCTGCATGCACGACACGTAACACCAAATCATGCGCGGGTTTGGGGCCTACTTCTCTTTGGTCCTGGGCCGGGCTTTCTTCGTTTCGTTTTGTTTGTTTCAAAGCAGGGCTCTGTCCTAACCTCCTCAAATTAGCTCCTCATTCTAGCCTTTCCGTAATCTATCAAAGAAAGCTCAAAGGAATAAGCCCCAACCCAACGGTCACAAGGGCGGAGGGTATTTACGTCGTTTCATAAAAATCCCACATTCAAATATGCTTAACATTCCCAGGATCGCAAATGTTTCCCTCCACCGAGAAACCCTAATAAGTTTGCAAAGAATTGTTGGGTTCTCAAATCCTCCTTCAACAATTTATTTAATTAATAGGTGAAGATTGCTTTCTAAGTTAAGGAGTAAAAGTTTTGGATTTCAGATTCCGGTTCTTGGCAATTGGCATTGTCAATTTGTCATTATCATGGATGAAGAGTGCATACAAAGCTCAGCCTCAGCCTCAGTGGATTCGATTTTCAAGTTTGAAAAGATTCTTCCTGGAGTTGAGAAATCTGCTTCTATGTCTCCTGCTCGAGTGAAAAACCCAAGAATTCTTGAGAATAAGATTGAATGTCAGACACCGGAGAAGATAAACGAGCCTTTAAACACCAAATACCACGAGGGGCAAGCCCAACTTCAAGATCCAATTTTCCATGGCTTCTGTTTCTCTTATGTTTTATCTTCTCTAACAAAGTACGAACGATTGTTTGAGTCTAAAGCTTGTCATCTTTTTTAATTTGCAGATATAGGATTATGGCAGACTTCTTTGACCATATGAATTGTTCCTTGAGGTTGCTTCGTCTGCGTAAAAGGTCACCTACTTTTCAAAATATTTCTACTCAGGTGGAAGTCCTAGCGAAACGGTAATGTTTGATTTAGTTCAAAATATTTCTCCTTAATGTGCAGTTTCTTTTCCATGGTGGCTGGTAGGATTGTTTCGTTTTCGTATTGTTTTCCTTTTCTTGTTTTTTTTAACTTTTTAATCAATTGGACGAATAATTCACAAGGGATTGGTGCTTCCAATAGACTTAATAGGGTTTTGACTAATATGCGTCAATGAAATATGGTGCGATTCTCAAAAGGTTCAAACTTTTTAATGGATTGACGGAAAATAGGACTATGGCTTTTGTTCTAATATGAGAATTCAACCAGTATATACAATAAAATGGTTTTTATAGTATTGGTTCTCCAGTATCAAGATCATAATCATAACTTATAAGATCATGCAGTTTAGCTGTCAATCATCTAGATTCACACCTGCTCCATCAATATCAACCTAATGAGTGAATGGAGAGAGCCAAATCCATCAAGGACCAGGATCCATTTTGTATTGTTAAGGACTTTAGCTTCTTGTTTGTAATTCTCAAGATGTTGAGAATAACTTCATAACTAGCAGCCAGAGAAATTCTAACTTACCCTTAGCTGCACTTCCACATGTTATTTTTCTAAGCAACTAGTACTTCCAGATGCTATTTTTTAAAACAACTAGTATGAGGATCTGGTCTAAAGTTTCCATTGTTTAATTTATATTTTGTTTTCTCTTATGAACTTACGAGTTATGAGTCATATATACTTTTTACTGAACTGTTCTTCTTTTTATTTTTCCAGAAAGTTCTTGTACAAGCATCTTGCTCAAATGAAATTTATACTTCCTGAAGCCATAAAGATAGATAGAATTTTGGTGCAGGACAAGAAAACTCCATGCATGAAGCCAGATATGAATATCACCTTGCTATTTAATATTGTGGAAGGTCACTGTGAAGTATCTGACTTTATAGCTGTGCGCCAAGTTTTTGCTTCTAGGCTCATTAATTTCTTTGCCATGCATCCTGAGGTACTGTGATGTCTCTTCTTTTTGTTTTTTCTTCCTTCTTCGAAGTGAGAGACTGTTGC